TTTCTATATGTTTTTAGTCAGCCAATGAATTTCTTTCTATTTTTAGTAGAGATGGGGTCTCTTGTTCAGGCTGGTTTCGAATTCCTGACCTTGAGCGATCCTCCCGGCTCGGCCTCCCAGAGTGCTAGGATTACAGGTGTGAGCCACCACGCTCAGCTATATCTGGCCAATTTTTTTAAAAAAAATTTTTTGTAGAGACAGGGGCTCACTATGTTGCTCAGGCTGGTCTCAATCTTCCCACCTCAGCCTCCCAAAGTGCTGGGCTTATAGATGTGAGCCACCATACCTAGCTTTGTTTTATTTTTTAAAGCCCTTTAAAGAAATGTAAAAATTATTCACAGCTCAAGGCTTTGGTCTGCTGACCCCAGCCTAGACTACTCTTTCAAAGCAACAATATATTTTCCCCATTAGGGCTCTAGTTACAAAGTTGTACAGATTATGAGTGGTCTGCCATAGCTCTATTTTGCTACTAACCTTTAGTGCTCAATTTTGTAGAATACAAGGATTTTCAGAAAAAACATAAAATGTTTAGTAAAAGTGCTAATACTAAAATATATTAGTAGCCGGGCGCGGTGGCTCACGCCTGTAATCCTAGCACTCTGGGAGGCCAAGGCGGGCGGATTGCTCGAGGTCAGGAGTTCGAAACCAGCCTGAGCAAGAGCAAGACCCCGTCTCTACTATAAATACAAAGAAATTAATTGGCCAACTAATATATATAGAAAATTAGCCGGGCATGGTGGCGCATGCCTGTAGTCCCGGCTACTCGGGAGGCTGAGGCAGAAGGATTGCTTGAGCCCAGGAGTTTGAGGTTGCTGTGAGCTAGGCTGACGCCACGGCACTCATTCTAGCCTAGGCAACAAAGCGAGACTCTGTCTCAAAAAAAAAAAAAAAATAAAATAAAATATATTAGAACAAATTTTAACTATTTCAAGTGGTCACATGATGATAAAATGTATAATTACATAATAGCACAACACAGTATAGCAAAGATCTAAATACAATTTAGCAAAGCTAATGAGAATAAAATTACCTACATTGATTATGTTAATAAAATTCTTCATTACAATGAGTTATAAACTGATTTACCTGAGGACTTCTATTTCTTCTGCTGTGTATCTCTGTCCTTGTGCATCACATGACTGTGGACTTATAAATGGCTGAGGTCTTTCAAGGAAGGGATTAGATCCTAGTGGAAAATGTGCTCTTGTTGGAGGTGGCTTTGGTTTAATATTTGTTGACTTGATTTTACAAAATGGCTTTGTCAAAGGCTCACTCAATGCTTCTGCTCTATAATAGAGAGAGGCACAGAAACATTTATTCTAGTTTTTCTTTTCACATTTAAGCTTTTTAGGAAATAAAATTTACTCTGAGAACTAGTTAAGGAGCATTCCTGATTTAAAATCACTATATAAAATTCTTACATACTAATTAACATCTCACTTCTTAAGGTACTCTCAAAGGTTTTTGAAAACAATATGCCAACAACATTAATTGAGCACTTATTGTACACCAGATGCTATGCAAAGTAAGAGTATACCAGAATGTATAAAACAATCTTTTCCCTTAAGATGTTCATAGTTCTGTAAGGAAAGATAATTGCATCAAAAATGATAGATGCTAGGATGGAAGTATTACATGCGCATGAACACACAACACAAGTTACTGATTTAATGACTGGGAAGAGAGGGTGAAATCAGGGAAGGTGCTCTAAATTGATGCTTGAGCTGCAGAGGACTTTACTTGGGGAGTGAAGAAGCATTCTAAGTAAAGAGAGGAACAGGTGTAAATGTGCAGAACTATGAAACAGCATAGTGAGTGAAGGTAATTTCAAAAGAACTGGTGTAGCCCCTGTGAAAAGTACAAACAAGAGGCAGCAGGAGACAAGAGAAAGGAAGGCAGGGGTTGGATCATGGAAGGTCTTACATGATATGCAAAGGAATTTCAAGGTTGTTCCATCAAAGAACAAGCTTAAAAAACAGAAATTCTTAACCTGAGCTCCATATATGAGCTTCAGGAATCTTGTAAACTCTCTGAAATGACATGCAAAAAAAATTTTATGTACATTTCCCTAGAGAGTGGATCCACAATTTTCAACAGATCCTCAAAGAAGCCCATGACTGACCCACCCCTTTTTCTAAGGATGCACTCAAGAATATTTGATGGGCTATCCACACTGGTAATAAAAGTCACCTATGATTCTGTCTGGGGAAAAAAGTTAAGATGGAGACAACAACTGTGTGTCAGGTGATCATATCTTCATTAATTTAAGAAAACTAAAGTTAGTAGATTATAGTAATAAAAAGGAGGGATGACTATTATACCTCAATAAAAAAAGAAGGGCTGGGTGTACAGCTATCTAGTCAGAGCCTCAAAAGAAGACAATTTTATTAATCCATGACATAGGTCTAAATGCAATTTCCACCCTTTTCCTTTGTTTAAAACACTCTTTTAAGAGGCATAAATTCTCTTGTACAAATCCAATCATTCTGTCAACAAATATCTACTGAGTACATATGATATGCTAGGCACTGTTAAGTACTTGGTTACTGTCTTTATTAATAACATAGATAAAATCCTCTGCCTTCAAAGCTTACATTTGGAGGGTAGGAGTTAGAGGGGACATGGACATTAACAACAAATATAATAAGTGGTAAATCTCACATACCTTAGAAAGTATTAAGAGCTATGGGAAAGAACACTAGAATAGAGCAAGCAGGATAAAAGTGCTAGGGAGATTCAATTTTAAACAAAATAGGGCAGGCCTCATTGAAAAGTTGACATTTGAGCTAAGAGGTAAAGGAGCTACACACAAGGTATAATTTAGGGCATGTGTATGGCTATAAGCAAGTTCATTCTCAATTTTTCTATTTTTAGTAGTAGATTTGGGAGGCTCTCTGGAAGATCTCTTTGGAAGTCTGATAGTGTACAATAGAAGGGAACTCTTCCATTGCAAATATCATAATTACTTCTGCTCTACACATGGTAAAAACTAAAAACATTTCTTGACTGATTTGATACTTCTTGAGGTTAAAGCAGGTAGAAGGTAAGTTCACTCAGAGGAAAAAAGTAGGTTTTTCTCTTGATCTCAGTTTAAAGACGGAGGTTTGTTACTATGACCTCTACCACACATTTAGATAAATCTGTTATGTGGTAACACAATACATGCCATCCATGGATAAGAACTTGAGTGATCAAAACTCACCTATCTAGTGCCTGTCGAGCCAACTGTTTCAGTTTGTTTTGTAGGGTTTTATCGGCAGTTTCATAAGACTTAAGAGAAAGAAAGAGACATTCTAAAGCATACTTATTTTTAAATTTGCTTCATACGTATTTCTAAGCAAAAATAATTTACAATGCACATTACACTTCTTGAAATTATGAGAGAATAAACAAAGATGGTCATTTTATTTTCATCCTTAAAGACATCATTTAAAATAGTGTTGAATATTTGTCACTGAGGTAAACTCTAAACCACTTAATAAGTGCTAACTAGACCACAACTGTTCAACCATGGTGCCATGGAAGGCGGAGTGGGTAGGAACCTCAGAAGATCAGCATATACCTGTGGTCTCAGTCACCTACAGAAATCAGACTAGGTGGTTTCTTAGAACAAGAGACCTGCCCAAAAGCCAGCCTGCTGAAAGACAGTGAGAACACCAGCCTTTACTACACCTCATCCTCCTGTCAAATGCACTGCTCTCTTATGCATTACATGTCCCTTGAAGGTAGAGTCCCAACCAAGACGCCTCAGAGAACAATAAAGCCACTCAGCATATGGATTTTACACTGCAAATTAATAAAGCTCTCCCAATCCACTACCTTACTTTTTAGTGTATGAAATAGAAAAAAAAGGGTAAGTTTATTTTATACTAATAGATTTGTGATGAATTATTCCTACAGTAAGTTAATTTTGGTTATTAAGGTATAAAAAGGTTAAAAAATAGGTCTTATAATTTAAAAAATAATTGCTTAGTGACCCAATGACATCAATAATTTTTTTTTTTTTTTTTTGAGACAGAGTCTCACTCTGTTGCCCAGGCTAGAGTGCCGTGGCATCAGCCTAGCTTACAGCTATCTCATACTCCTGGGCTCAAGCAATCGTACTGCCTCGGCCTCTCGAGTACCTGGGACTACAGGCATGCACCACCGTGCCTGGCTAATTTTCTATTTTTTTAGTAGAGACAGGATCTCGCTCTTGCTCAGGCTGGTATAGAACTCCTGAGCTCAAACAATCGGCCTGCCTTGGCCTCCCAGAGTGCTAGGATTATAGGCCTGAGCCACCACGCCCAGCCCCCAAACATTTTTTGAGACAAGTTCTTGCTCTGTTACCCAGGCTGCTGGAGTGCAGTGGCCAATGACAGCTCACTGCAACCTTGAACTCTTGGGTTCAAAGGATCTTCCTGCCTCAGCCTCCCAAGTAGCTGGGACTACATATGCATGCCATCACAATCAGTTCATTTTTTAAATTTTTTGTAGAGACAGGATCTTGCTATGTTGCCCAGACTGGTCCCAAACTCCTGGCCCCAAATGATCCTCCTGCCTCAGTATGAAAGTGGTGGATTACAGATGTGAGCCACTGTGTCTGGCCTCAATGCCGTCAAAATTTTTAACAAAATGTAAAAACCTATTGTTAACCTTACACTCTTCGTGATTTTTTACTGAGGAGTAACTTAGTTCCATTTATAATGATAGAGTAGCTTTTTTCTTCAAGAAGTTATTAAAATCCACTAGTAAAAGAAGACATTTCTTAGCATAATTCCACCAAATTTAATTTATAGTTATACATACAGTTTTCAGACAGAGATCCACAGCTTCTGTATACAATTCTATAGCATCTTCAACATTCTCTTTTTCATCTTCATCAAAAGCTTGTGTAACAAGGAAATGGGCACGCTCTAAGTCCAACTGATGTTTTGATTTCAAAGGATCAGCACTCTTTGACTGAACTAGGATGAGAAAAAAAGCCTATATTGAAAAAGTATTACCTAAACATAGCCAGGGAACAACATACCACATAAACACATTTAAGATATTATTTACCTATAATCTATAAACTCTATAATCCTTCATTTAAAAAGCTTAGCAAGGTTAAAAAAATCCTTAAAAAAGGACTAATTTCCCCCCTTTTCATTTTAATCTTAAGGCCTAAAAAAAGGGCTCCAGTTGTTAACATTAATTATGTATTATTTATTAAAAATTTTTTCCCTCTAATTTTTCTCCCCCTACCAGCACTCTCTTTACTTAAACTCCATTGTATTTTAAGATAATTAAAAATATTTTTTTTTAGTTACAGACAATAATTATGTAATATACTAAGCCTTGATGAAACAGTTCTAGCTTTTCCTATTCTCCTAGGGTCAGAATAAGTTACCATATATTTTTCCTGCTCTTTGAAAAAATATTTCCATTTGTTTTTAATATAAAGATCTATGAAAGAACTAGGCTGGGCGCAGTGGCTCACGCCTGTAATCCTAGCACTCTGGGAGGCCAAGGCGGGCGGATTGCTCGAGGTCAGGAGTTCGAAACCAGCCTGAGCAAGACCCCATCTCTACTATAAATACAAAGAAATTAATTGGCCAACTAATATATATAGAAAAAATTAGCCAGACATGGTGGCGCATGCCTGCAGTCCCACCTACTCAGGAGGCTGAGGCAGAGGATCACTCGAGCCCAGGAGTTTGAGGTTGCTGTGAGCTAGGCTGACGCCACGGCACTCATCTAGCCTGGGCAACAAAGCGAGACTCTGTCTCAAAAAAAAAAAAAAAAAGAAAGAACTTACATCCAGAATATATACAGATCTCTTACAACTCAACAATAAAAAGATAACCCAATTAAGACATGGGCAAAGGATCTAAATATGCAAAAGGTCAACCGGCACATGAGACGATGCTCAACATCATTAGCTATCAAGAAAGTGCAAATCAAAACCATGAGACAGGCCGGGCGTGGTGGCTCACGCTTGTAATCCTAGCACTTTGGGAGGCCGAGGCGGGCGATTGCTCAAGGTCAGGAGTTCGAAACCAGCCTGAGCAAGACCCGTCTCTACCAAAAATAGAAATAAATTAATTGACCAACTAAAAAAATATATACAAAAAATTAGCTGGGCATGGTGGCGCATGCCTGTAGTCCCAGCTACTCGGGATGCTGAGGCAGTAGGATTGCTGAGCCCCGGAGATTGAGGTTGGTGTGAGCCAGGCTGACGCCATGGCACTCACTCTAGCCTGGGCAACAAAGTGAGACTTTGTCTCAAAAAAAAAAACCAAAAAAAAAACCCATGAGATGCTACTTTGTACCCCCAAGAATGGCTAAAATAATAACAAGCGTTGGTGAGGATGTAAAGGAACTGGAACCTGATACACTGAACTGTAAAATGGTGTGGCCGCTTTCGAAAACAGTTTGGAAGTTCCTTAAAAAGTTGAGCCACTTTGGAAAACAATTTGAAAGTTCTGCAAAAAGCTATCCTACAACCCACACATAATTATTATCCTATAATTCTACTCCTGGGTGGAATTCCAAGGGAATTGAAAATGTCCACGAAAAACCTGTACATGAATGTTTATAACAGTGTTATTCGTAACAGCCAAAAGATGGAAACAACCCAAATGTCCATCAACTCAAGAATGGATAAACAAAAATTTGGTATATCAATACGCTAAACTCAGTGAAAGAAGCCAGCCAGCAAAAGGCCTATTGCATGATTCCATGTTTATGAAATATTAAGAATAGGGAAATCCATAGAAACAGAAAGTAGATTAGTAGCGGCTAGGGGTCAGAGGAATGGCAGGAGTTTTCTTTTGGGGTGATGAAAATATCCTAAAAATTAGATAGTGGCCATGTTGCTCAACTCTCGGAGTACACTAAAAACCAATGAATTGTATACTTTAAAAGGGTGAATTTTATGGTATGTGAATTATGTATCGCTAAACCTATTATTTAAGAAAAGCTTTACATTTTGTTAGTTCCTTAAAGCTATGTGCTAATGTTTTTTAAAACTTTAATCCTCGTCAACACCTCTCTGAAATATATACTAATTCGATTTATAAAATGAAGACACTAAAACTCAAAAATGTTAAAATTACCTAGCCCTGAGTATCTTAGCCTTGGCATTATTGACATTTTGAGCCGGATAATTCTACCCAACTAGATGCCAGTAGCATATTCCCCTCCATCTGCAGTGTTAAAACCAAAAATCTCTCCAGAAATTATCAAATGTCTCCTAGAAGGCAAAATCACTCTCCATTGAGAATTACTGATCTAGTCTAAGGTTTCATAGCTACAAGTGGAAGGGTAGGTCTCAACATAAATCTTTTAATCCTATGTCTTGAGCTCTTTATACTACACTGGTTAATTTCAAACTATATTATTACCTTTCCCCACCCCAAAATTAACTTCTCTCTCAAGTCTCTTGACTGCCAGCAGATTATCTTGTTTTAAAAAACTGGTTCTACGCTTGGCATGGTGGCTCATGCCTGTTAATACTAGTACTTTGAGAGGACAAGGCAGGAGGATCACTTGAAGCCCCAGGGGTTCAACAAGACCAGCCTGGGCAAAAATGAGACCTCCCTTATCTCTATAAAATATTAAAAAGATTGTCCTAGTGTAGTGGTATATACCTATAAACCTAGTTACCTGGCAGGCTAAGGAAAGAGGATTCTTTGAGCTTGCGGTGAGCTATGAGGGTCTCACTCTAGCCTAGGAAAGAGAGACCCTGTCTCAGGAAAACAAAAAAACAAAAACTTAGGGTTCTAAACGGGATTTTTATTTGAAAAAGGACACTTCTGTTTAAAATAATAATTAAATAAATAAGGAAATCATTTAATTCTCTGAAGATCACATTATGTTTATGGAACAAAATGGGTCAAAACTTGGCAAAATAATTAAGGTATGTTATGCTTTAAAAATCCATTATTTCATTGGCAAGACTTTATTCTTCAAGAGATCAGGATTGTCTCATTCTGTGACCAAATTGTCACATTTATAAATATTAATGTTTAGAATTTCCCAAAAATCAAATGCAATTTTTTGGGCTTATCTATATTTAATACACAGTAGGAAGATTTTTTTTTAAAAAAATGCTTTAGAAAAAAGGTGATTCTTATTTTTTCCCCAATTGTTACAAGGACTTCAAAGGTTTAAAGAGTAATCCAGTTGGCATAAATGTAATAGCCTATGGCATAAGTGTGATTGAATGTGTATATATAGAAGGGAAAGATGGAAATATGCCTTTAGCCACCAGAGTTTCTACTCCTGGAATAGTTATCACCATATGATTTCTATCTTCTGGAGCACTTTGCTTTAAAATTTAAGTCTAGCATGCTTCAGAAAGGGAGTTTCATGAAGTGTAATGTTTACACATTTATCTCTCCACAAATGATTAAAGGCTTCTTGTGGGCATGGACTGTCACTCATCTATCACCCAGTACTTACCATATAGCCCAAACATGCACTCAATAAATGGTTGTTGAAATGAAGGAAAATATCTATGGAAAAAACAGGGAGATCATGGAAGTAAGCATGAAAGATTACTTTCCACACTTCAAAGATAATTTTATTTGAAAACATTATTTATGAAACAAAGTTCCTAGTTATTGGGCAGTTAAATTTAAGACTTTCATTTACTTGGCTGAGAAAATGAAGTTCTTTTGAATTATATGGTATTCTGAATACATGAATCAACATAACTTGGTATCTAGTGAGGCCCCAATAACACAGACAGTCCAATTTTCAATATATGCAATTTCTGGGCACTGTCTGAATATAAACTATCTTATTTTAAGGCGATTGTCATAACAAGGAATCCTATGGTCAAATCTGCTGTATCCTAATGATGTGCTTATAATTGTTCATACCTATTCAGAATGAGTGGTAGAAAGTAGCTCAAAGTCTATCAGAATAAAGATGGACTCTGCTTGTGGCTTTATTATACAGTAACAGAAAAAGAAGGTTAAAAAGAGCCTCTAGAGCAGGTGTGCTCAAACTACAGCCCGCAGGCCACATGTGGGTGTTTTTGCCCGTTTGTTTTTTTACTTCAAAATGAGATATGTGCAGTGTGCATAGGAATTTGTTCACAGTTTTTTTAAAACTATAGTCCGGCCCTCCAACGGTCTGAGGGACAGTGAACTGGCCCCCTGTTTAAAAAGTTTGAGGACCCCTGCTCTAGAGAAACACATTTCTAAAACAAATGTCAATGGTGATAACTTTCTACCTATGTGAATAGCATATTTTGACATGAAACCACTTGCCTCTAACCAACAAAAATAATCATTAAGCTCATATGCATTTCTATAATAGCACTTGTCACACTATTTACAAAAATAAATATGAACTGTTCCACATATTTTCTTACATGTCTGTTTTCCAAGGTACGGTTTAAAAAAAGAGTTTAGCAAAGGTCTGGAGGTAGAGGATGCTGACAGAGAAGAAACTGTGAACTACTGCTGAAGTCTTTAAACACTAAAAATAGTGACTAAGTGACTAAGAATAGTCACTTAATTTTAGTATCATGAAGGGACATGTGACAGATATTTTAAAAGACTTTAACAGGGTCCTAATCCTAATTTTGCTGATGATAAATTGACCGTAGATAATTCACCATCTCTGTACCTCCAAAGAATTAGGAAATTGGACTATATTATCCCTAAGGTTCCTTTTGATAGATGTATCATTTACTTCCATATTATGATTTTTAAAGAGGTGATTGCCAAAGGAGGAATGAGCAGCAACAGAGTGAGGAACAAGATCGGAAGATGGAAATGAAGAGGAGAAACATGAAAAGATGTGATGAGAGAGAAGGAAAAAAATACAGTGACAAGGTTAGTAGTCCTTTACTAACCTGCTGAATGTAAAGCTTGAACTCTTTCCAGATACTCATTTATTTTTTCTTGAATACGTTCTAGGCTTGATCCTGCCATTTCAGCATAAATTAAGGCTTGTGCAGCTTCCTAAAAATAAAAAGAATTCAAGGAATCCAACAGATGTACTACAATTTTAATTTTGCTTACCACTTTCTAATTCACTATTGGTTTCCATGAATGACAAAATGTCTTTAAGAGATCAGCATTTTTTTTCATATAGTCAATGAGTTATACTTCATGAAAAACCAAAAAAATATCTTTTCTTCAGTTTTCTATTTTTTTCCTTTTTTAATTCTTTTCTTCTTTTACATTGGCCCCAGTACTTTCTTCAGTTTTCAATGCTCTCAATTTTCACATACTGTTGAAAACTTATGAACTCAAGTATAAGGGAGTGATCATAAACATTTCTTTAGAATAGTGGTTTACATGTTTTCTATTTTCCTTACACCAGACTTAAAATTATATGCCTTGAAAATGTGAATTGAGCCTTCAAAACAATAAAACATAATAAACACTAACATAAAATTAAATATCAAGAAAAGATTACGAGAAATTATAAAGATTAAATATCTCGTCTCATGGTAAAAAGAAAATATTCTTCTCTACAGAAAATACTGGCCAGGGGTGACACATTTTAAGGAAGATTTCAGTTGCATGAAATAAACTTATTTTAATTAAGAAAACCTGGATTCTTTTTCCAGTTATTCCATAACTTTCATAGCCAGTTATGCTATAGCTAGTGAGGAAGAGATTCCATTCTCCCCATCACCATTCTTGGAAGGTTAACAATACTACCACCTAGAAAAGCAGAAAGAGATTTCTCCAAGTAACAGCACTTTATCTGCAGTAAACCATAAAGGTACACTTTATGGGGCCTCACACCTGTTTCCAAAGAAGTCATCTACAGAGGATCACTTTTTAAATCCAATTATTTGAGCAGCAGTTGTTTTACGGGACTGAACAAAATCAGACAGAAAAGTACAGTTTCGACTCTGGTCAAAATTCAGCCTGAAGGCTGTGGGATAGAAAACATATACCGGCCGGGTGCAGTGGCTCACGCCTGTAATCCTAGCGCTCTGGGAGGCCAAGGCGGGCAGATCGCTCAAGGTTAGGAGTTGGAAACCAGCCTGAGAGAGACCCTGTCTCTACTATAAATAGAAACAAATTAATTGGCCAACTAATATATATAGAAAAAATTAGCCGGGCATGGTGGCACATGCCTGTAGTACCAGCTACTCAGGAGGCTGAGGCAGAAGGATTGCTTGAGCCCAGGAGTTTGAGGTTGCTGTGAGCTAGGCTGATGCCACGGCAGGCTCTAGCCTGGGCAACAAAGTGAGACTCTGTCTCAAAAAAAAAAAAAAGAAAACATATACCTTCCTTAGATTCTGTAACTCAGATATTTCAGGAAAGAAAATTATAAATTTACATGTAAACATTAAATATTGTATCATATGTACCACCATTAACTAAATGTTATAGCTGCACTTAACTTCAATAAGTTGACGGTTATATATAAGTATATAATATATATTACCTGTTCAATATATTCCCCCTTCAGTATATATTACCCCTTCTTGCAGGTAATTCTTGATATTCAAATATTAATAGTTTTGCTTAAAAAAATAAAGCTAATTCTTAAAATTGCTGGTATCAATTTTATTTTACTCATTTTATTTATACTCAAAAGTAACTAACAGTTAAGAAACTGCTTAAAGAACGGTATCAGGGCAGAAAACATTAAACTGACAAAGTTTATATAAATAATTTCTAGAGGTATAAATCACTTTTTGAATTTCTCAAGGATAAAAGTTCTTCCTAAGTGCCATGTATGTAAACCTACAGGAAAACAAGAGGCATTGCATAGCAGTTTCTTTTGCTTTAGAAAGGTAATTTTTACATGGCATTATTTTAACCTGTTAATATTTGTCAAAGTTATTTCATAAAACTAAAACACATAATTTTTCTTTTAAAAAAAATCAGCTTATATAATTGTCAAAAAAGTCCAATACGGAAATGCACCAAAAATCTCTTAAAGATCATAAAATAAAGATAATATTAATTTCAAGCTTTATTGATAGTGCATACTTATGGAAAAAATTACTACTACTGTACAGTATTATCAAAGTCTGACATTCTTTCTAAAAGAAAAGGTGATAACATCATCACACAGCTACCATCACAACTGGCTAGAGCTGGAGGGGTGTATTTGCAAATCCTCAGGATTGGAGAGCAGACAGTGGACAGTGGAAGCTCATACCCTTTGATTTAGCAATTCCATTCCCACTAATTTATCCAAAAGAAATAACAAGAAAATGTGGAAAGCATTAGTTATAAGGATACTAATTATACCATTATAATGCTGAAAAACCAGAATGAACCTAAATACCGAATAATTTGTAAATAAATTATGGTACATTCACATATTGAACTATTAAGCAACTATTATTACTAAAAACAGTACAATCCAAGTCTGTTAAAGAAGTGTATACACACATGCATAGAAAAACTGTAAAGATATATAGTTATGCTCTGCATAACAACCTTTCAGGCAAGGATAGATGGAATATGTAATGGTAGTCACCTAAGATTATAATGGAGCTGAAAAATTCCTACTGCCTAGTGATATTGTAGTACAGTTCAACACTTTACTTGTGTTTGTGGTGATGGTGGTGTAAACAAACCTGCACTGACAGTTGTACAAAGGTCTGGCACATGCAATTATGTACAGTATACAATACTTGATAATAAACAACTATGTTACTGGTTTATGCATTCACTATACTATACTTTTAATTATTTAGAGTGTACTCCTCTTCTACTCATAAAAAAAGTTAACTGTAAAGCAGCCTCAGGCAAGTCCTTCAGGAGGTATTCCAAAGAAGGCATTGTTCTCACAGAAGATGACAGCTCCATGTCTGTTACTGCTCCTGAAAACCATCCAGTGGAAAAAGATATGGAGATGGAAGACAGTGATATTGATGATACGGACCCTGTGTAGACTAATGTGTTTGTCTTAGTTTTTAGCAAAAAGTTTTGAAAAGTAAAAAGAAAAAAATTTTGAATAGAAAAAGGCTTACAGAATATGAACAGAAAATATTTTTTGTGCAGCTGTACAATGTGTCATAAGCTAAATGTTATTACAAAATTCAAAAAGTTAAAAAAATTAATAAAAAGTTATAGTAAGCCAATATTAATTTATTATTGAAGAAAAAAATGTTTAAATAAATTGAGTGTAGCCTAAGTGTACGGTGTTTATAACGTCTACAATAGTGTACAGTAATGTCCTAGACCTTCACACTCACCACTCACTGACTCACCTAGGGCAAGGTCCAGGCCTGCAAGCTTCATTCATGGCCAAGTGCCCTATACAGGTGTACCACTTTTACTTTTTATATGTATTTTTCCTGTATCTTTTCTATGTTTAGACATGTTCAGATACACAAACACCACTGTGTCAAAATTCCCTATAGTATTCAGCACAGTTACACGCTGTACTAATAGCATACAGCCTAAAAGCAATAGGCTATACCAGGAGCCTAGGTGTGTAGTAGGCTGTACCACCTAGGTTTGTGTAAACGCACTACGTTGTTCACATAAAGACAAAATCGCCCGACACATTTCTCAGAAAGTACCCTCCTTCCTAACAACTGTACATCAAATGACAGGATAAGAGAATGAATTTTACTCCATTTTATTATTTTCCTCAAGGCACACGCATTATGTTGCTATATATCACAGACCACTTCCTGATGGCCATAAACCGGAGCCAAGCGACCGCAAGAATGGCTACTAACTACCGCTCCGTAAGCAGCTCTACGGCGGGCACCGCCAGCCCAGACCGCAGCCAGAGAAGCGGGGCCCCAGAAGCCGCAGCTAAGCCTCCCCACAGCCGCAGGGGCCCCGGCGGGCGCGGGACGCAGCCCGGGTCTCCGCCCCCCGACGAGGTGGAGGGAGGAGGAGGAGGGAGATGGAAGACCAAAGCCAGTGGGCCCGGTCGCCTCGGCAACCAGACCCCGCCGGACTCCGACTGGAGAGAGTCCGGCCGAAGCGGCGGTTCCCGCCCCTACCTTGTAGTAAAACACAGCCTCAGGGTAGCGGCCCTCGTGGTCGCGCTGCACGGCCAGGCGGGCGAACTGCACGGCGTCCCGCTCGAGCGCCGTCGCGTCCATGGCGCCGCGGCCCCGCGCCGGGGGAGGGAGAGCGAGCGAGGCCCTGTCGCAGGACTGCTGCTCACTGCCTGCGGCGGCGCAGCAGCCGCGGCGAAGACGCGGGAGCGCCGCGGAAGTTTACTTTCGGCGGTAGAGGGAGGAAAGCTCGCCTTCCCGGTTCCGGTCCGGGCCCCTCCGCGACGCTGCGCCCCCCTGGCGCAGCCCGCCGGGCCGCCCAGCTTCGCCGCGGCCGCGTCCTTCGCTTCGCCCACCGCGCAGGCGCAGTCTGGCCCTCGGGAGTTCCTCTGGAGCTGCTCCGGAGCTGGGATGGCTGAGGCCCTGAGTGCGCGGCGGTGGGCGGGGCCGACCCGCGGCGGGAGGGGGTGGCGGGGCAGGGCGCCGCGGCGGTCACGTGCACCAGAGCACCCAGGATTGGGCGGGCGAGGCCAGGTGCCTTGTCCGAGGTGCGCCCGCCTGTTCCGCTTGCGTGGAGGTGGCGGTGCGGGTGGAGGCTGGTTGGATAATCTTGCCAGGAGAGGGACATGCGCCTTACGAGCCTTTCGTTTACGAAGTGTAGAGCGTAGGCATAGAGCCAATGAAGAGCAATTCCAGAATCACCTGGACAGACTAAAAAACAAAAAAATAGAGACGTAACGTGGGGATATAAGGGTCTTACATTTATTTTCCACAATCTCAATCTTGACCCTATAGTCCCCCAATGCATACCTAAGTAGGTATTGATTTAATTGTTAGCAAACAAGGTAATATATTCTCACTCGTTAGTAAGCCTCAGGGTACCTTAATGTTGTTGTAACGAAATGCTTAATTACATGATTATTTGTTTAACGTCTCTCCCTTACAAGTCTGAATGCAGCAGTTATTAAAAATGAACTAGAGATGGGCGCCACACTGTGGATGAAACTAAAAATTCGTGCTGAGTCAAGGAAGCAAGACACAAGAGTACAAAATTTATGATCCTATTTATAAGAAACACTAGAACAGACTAATCTATAATTTGGAAAGCAGATCAATGGTTAGGAAGGGATACAAAGGAATCCCTTGGGATGACGGAAATGTTTTATATCTTGGTGGTGGTGAAAAAATGTATACATTTGTCCAAACTCATTGAACTGGACATTTTAAATGTGTGCTTTTAATTTTTTGTTAATTTTATTTCAAACAATTCAGTCATTTGGCCTGTGTTTAAAAGGGACTCTCATGTCTTTATTTCTTTAACTCTGTTTATTCACATAGTTAATAACAACCACCACCTCATAAAGCTTTTGTAAAGAACATGAAGAACTTGATTCTGCGCCTGGTACAAAGATGGTTCTCAGAGTTGGCTATTACAGTTTTAAACCTGAAGCAGAGATGACAGTTCCTGTGTTTACCAGTTTTATCCCAGCATTGAGAACAAGCTGTGGTCCAGAGCAAGTGTTCAACAAATATTTTAAAATATTGAATGAGTGCATCCACCTACTTAAATCTAATGCACCCTCCTCTGTCTTGATTTTGAGGAATGAAATCTAAATTACTTAGCACAAAGTAGAAGGTCCTTCAGTACATGAGCTCAGGCCATATTTCTAATGTGTTTCAGTCACTGTCTTGCACAAACTGACCCCCAAGCTACAGCAGATGAATACAGTTTTACTCATTCAAAACAGGACTACTGTGTTTAATGTTCCTCTTCTCATCACAGCTTATAGAATTCTTAGTCCATCTTGAAAAAAGCCCTTTCTAGCACTCTTAGGCAGTTGTGATCCCTTCCTATACTTACTCATATATTCCCTATTTTCTATAAGAAATTTAATCCTTATTCCTTGTTCATTTATTCAGTGAATACTAAATTACTTTGTGCCAGGTACAGAGTTAGACACTGAAGATACAGAGACAAATATTAGAGAGTGAGACAGAGCAGGGATAAAATCAAATTGAAGCTTCCAAATATCTGCAGTCTTAGCTAACTTGAGTATTTCAATCCATGGACACAGTAAATTTCTCCATTTATTCAAGACTCCTTTAATTTCTCTGAGCAATGTTTTGTAGTTTTTAAGTGCACGAGTTTTGCTCATCTTTTGACAAATTTATCTCTAAGCATCTCATATTTTTGATGCTATCGTAAAGGATATTGCTTATTTAATTTTAATTTGCTAGTATATAGAAAGAGAATTGACATTAACACATTGACCTCATATTCTGCACTCATGAATTATCCAAAAAACTCTGTGAGTTTGTTGGTGGATGCTCCTGACAGGTTGTCTCTGTGCAGCGTCCACCAGAATGTCTAGTAGCACCTCCACCTTAGGCCAGCTCTGTGACATTTACCGCAGTAGAAGCTGTCCAGTGGTAAGCACTCAGAGCTGCTTCGTCACCATGCCCTCAGCTTGCAGCATGGGAGCCTCCCCCACTGACAGCTGAGACACAGCTGGAGAGAGGGAGGAGCCTGAGAAGACACTGGTCAGCACCCCACTCCTGCTCAGCAAGCTCCTTGCTGTTGATGGCTGAATTCCTTGGCACTTTCTGACTATAGCTGGTTTTATAATCAGAAGCAACAAAACATACTTTTGAAATTCAGACTTGCAGGGGACTTATAAATTGTATATAATCACATATATAATCCATTATTTTGAATTTATAGTTAGGAAATATATATAAAATTAAGTTAGGATATATAGGTATATAAAATTCTGTAGGTGGAAGAGATACAATTATTATTATTACTGTTTTCAAGGTTGCCAACCAAGCTGATGGTCATTTATTACTTCGTTCAACAAATTTTAAAAATTTGGTTGGCAAAGCACTGAGGATTAAACTAAAACGGCTCCAACAACTCACACTGTAGTGAGCCAGACATGTGTCAGCCAGCAATTAAAAGCATCATTCGATGTTTGATAAGAGAGCTAAGTCAGGGGCTGGGAGGAGCACAGTAGCAGCATCTAAATCAGCCTGGGGAGTGTCCCAGAAGCAGGGATGATGGTTGAGTGAAATACTGAAGGCAGAATAAGAGAAAAGCAAGGAAGGAAGAGAGGGATGGCTCAGGCTCAACTAGAGGCAGGAATGTTGAGCCCAGCGTGTTGGGGGATTAGGGTTCCCTGGGTCTGGCTGTGGGAAGTGATGGGAAATGAGAGTTCAGAGCAGTGGTTCTCCCATTTTAACTGCTTCAGAGTCACCTGAGGGGTTGCTCACACACAGATTGCTGGGCCCCACCCTAGAGAATCTGGTTCGGTAGGTCTGGGTGGACCTTAGAATCTGCATTTCTGACTGGTTCTGACAGGTGATGCTGCCGGTGCAGACTCCACGTTATGAGAACAACTGCTCTAGATTTAGAAAGGAGGTGTTGAGAGCTCAAGGCTTATTGCCAGCCAAGCCTCTTGACCATGGCTCCATGGCTTTGAAGTTCAGTGCTCAGGGGGACTGGGTCATGCTGATGACAGCAAAGACAGCAGTGAGTTTATTTCCTTCTCTGTGGTCCCTCCTCTGTTGTGCTGGGTCCATTGCCTTGAAGCTTCCTTCCTTCCTGATCTCTTCCTCTGTGACCCTTCACGATGCATGGTATGTTGCTGTTGGTCATTGGTGGCTACCATCTCTTAAGCATGGGTGGGACAATTCATCCTATTTAGCACAGAGCATCACCAGCCGTGTTGGATTTATGAAAATTATGGAGAGCACAGCCCACCTGGTGTTCTCTTGCGACATTGCAGCTAAATAAGGCACTGGGGCATAGCTGCATGTTATCTCATAAGGGCTGTGTCACTAATTTATCCTTTCACCAAGCATTTATTTAAAATACAGTCCTTGAAGAGCACAATGATTATCAAGCCCAAGCCTCTTTGAGACTCTTTGGGGATAACAGCTTCCCTGAGGCAAGGAATGGAAATCTGAGAAGCAGGCTTGGGGGTAAGAAGTGAATTTGAGATAAATGTCCCACATAACTGTGTCAACCACTGCTCAACTCTAGACAGTTCAATGGAATGTGGGCCCAATTTTTTTTTTTTATCAAGAGAAGCTGGAAATTCAAATCTTGTTATAATAATTCCTGATTTTTAAATAAAAACAATGTTAAATGTTTTTCTAAATACCGTGAGACAGCATTGCACATCTACAGACCATGGTGGTCCCACATGCTGTTATTTTGATCCTCTGCTTTGTAGTTTATTCCTTTTCATAATTTTAAAGCAGTGGGCCCCAACTTTTTTGGCACCAGGGACCAGTTTCATGGAAGACAAATTTTCCGCAGACCAGGGCAAGGGGCAGGATGGTTTCAGGATGATTCAAGTACATTCCATTTATTGTACAAATCTCTCTGCTAGTGATAATTTGTATTTGCAGCTGCTCCCCAGCGCTAGCATCGCCGTCTCAGCTCCACCTCAGATCATCAGGCATTAGATTCTCATAAGGAGATTGCAACCTAGATCCCTCACATGCACAATTTCATGCCTCCACTGACCTAACAGGAGGTGCAGCTTATGTGGTGATGTGAGGAATGGGGAGCGGCTGTAAATACAGAGGAAGCTTCTCTGGCTTGTCCACACAGTCTGGTCCTAACGGGCCATGGAAGTTGGGGACTGCAGTTTTAAAGGGGTCTCAGGAGAGAGAGGGGGTAAACGCTGACACCCGTGGATGCAATAGTGCATGAAAACAGGAATGGCCCTCCTTTTATGGGGCTCTTGTCTTAGTAGGGGAACACAGACATCAATAAATAAAGTCCATTAGTGAAGGAATACTTACACATGCAGAGGGTACTCCAAAGATAACCAGCTCTGTTCTGTAAGAGCTTATGAAAGGGAAACAGACCTAAACGAGAGAGTCAACCAAGACTTCCCTCAAGATAGAGGGAACTGCTTGTGCAGTGGCCAGGGGCAAGACTGAACTTGGAATGGGAGAAGGCCAGTGTGGCTGGAGCAGAGAGAGTGAGCAGGATGAGATATCCAAAGTGGCTAGGGAGGTGTGTGTTTGGAGGGTGGTGCTTGGTCAGGCACCAGACCATGCAGGGCTTTATAGGCCCTGTAAAGGGTTTGGATTTCTGTCTTAACCCTCAGTATACCATTGTGGACCACTAGACCTAATTTTGGTTTTTGAGTTTCTTTATAGAGGAGTTCTAAATATTTGTAATTGATATTTCAATAACTTTTATTCTTTATTAGAGATCTTCCAAGAACCAAGAGAAAATTTTCTTAAATATATATGTATATACATATATAGTAAAATTAATTCTATCTAGCAATTACTGTTGGATCCACTGGGTCATTTTATAATCTAAGCTATCTTTTGGGATCTAAGCTACCTTTTTGGGATCTTCCCCTCGATGTTATAATATTTTGCTGTTTTATCACTCTATGAATTATTCCATCATGCTCTATAATTCCAAGCTATACTTAAAAAATACTAAAATAGCAGGACAACAGAATAAGGGTGGATTGCCTAAATGGATGAAGTAATAATGAAATAAATAATCATTATGAAACTCTCCCTGAGTTTTCTTATTGCATTGCCCAAAGTATTGTATCATCTCTCAAAAAGGTATAAAATAAGTCAGGAGATACCATCATTGTGGGACAATTTTAGTTTTTTTAAAATTAAACTTTTTATTTTGAGATCATTCTAAATTAACATGCCATTGTAAGAAA